TGTGTCACCTTGTCTGTCTATAACAAGGCCAAACATTAAAGGGTATGTAGGGTAACTTTTGATCAGGGCCATTTGGGTGATTTCTGTTATCATTATAATTATTAATCATTATAATTACAAACAACTATGTGATAATAAATGGCTTCATATAATCACTATCTTTAAAGGTTCAGTGTGTAATATTTCTAAGGATTTATTGACAAACATGTAATATAAGATCCATAACTATTATTTCGGTAGAGTAGAAAGACACTACATTATTACACGGACGTCGCCATGTTGTGTCGCCATGTTTCTACAGTGGCCGAAAACGGACAAACGGCGCTACAGAGCATGTTTCGTCACTAGGTTTTTTTTTTCTTCTTGTGTAATTCCAGCAGTGTAGTCGCCCATCCCTACGTTGAATGCATACACAGAAGAAGAAAAGTAAACAATAATCATATACAGTCTCTGAGTAGTCAATCTGATTTATTAGAAATAAGAGGAGAAATGAAATTTAGACAGATTGAGGAGTACCAGTTGGGAAGTTAGTTTAACTACATTTCTCAGTAGCTTGGTGGTAGCGTCGCAATTTTCTGAATCAAATAGCTTTTCAGTAACGAAGCTCTTTTATAAACCGAGTAGCGTGGTAGCTTTCACACACGCTACATTTTCCCAAACATTTCTGAAGGATCAGTAAGTGATGCCACCTCCACACACGGACCTGTACGTGCAGCCGGTGTTCTGTCGATTTATGCTACCTATCGAGATGTGCTACTTAGCGGTTCTGCGCATGCGTATGACAAGCTTAGCTTAGCAAGCTAGGCTACAAGCCCCACTTGTAGCCAGGATTTTCCCAGATGGAAGGTTCTGATTCAGGACAAATGTGTTCAAAGTGGTGCTGAAGTTGCCTCTCATACGTGGACAGAAAAATGCTCAGCTTACATTCATGAGACAATCAGCTGATCATATTAGTGGCAATAAAATGGTAACTTCAAGCATGAAAGCCAGCTAAAAATGTACTGGCCTGGTAGAAAAGATATGTAGTTGGATTGTAATTTCATGTAGTTATTCTCCAGCGCTGTGTGTGTTTGCTACGACAAACAACTGATGAATATTATTGGCAATAAAACTGCACAGCATGGAAGTTCAGATCAGCCCGCTAAACTTCACATTTTACTGCCCTGGTTGAAAACACTTAGCATATTTATTTTTACTGCTAATGCGTTATGATAACAAGACAATGTGCCTATCAAGTGACCAATAATGCTTATACTTTCAGAGTTTGCATTAAAAAACTAATTTGTTTGTAGGCTATTGCTTCACAAATGTGTTTGATAATTAACAGGCTAAATACCTATTAAAAACATTGCACCATTTTGCCACAAGCTAAAATGAAAATGCTATTAGTACTGCTCTGTGTTTTTATTGTATTTCAAAAACTTTAAAAAGACATTTTGGTAAGATTTGTAGATTGCTTATCTAATTGAACAAAGTGGAGAGGAGCCTTGGTCCTCACCTGACAATGCTTTTGTAAACTTCATGTATTATGTGGTTTATAATGGACTGTGGAGCAGAAACAGTGAGGCTTCCATTTTCCTGTTATCTGTCAGTGATCATACTTGCTCTAGATAAGAGTATGCAAACTGTACATGTAAAGTGGATTACTCCAACTCAGATGCAATATTCCATTTTTTATTTATTTGCTTGTTTTGTGTATGCTTATTCTTTCTTTCTTTAAATATAAAGAATGAAGAGGCCACTTTCTGTTTCACCCACAGACAGTAAAAACACATAAATCACAGCCCTTTGTCCCGGTCAATAACCGCTGCACTTCCATCAGGCCAAACCATTATTGTTCCTCCCATCTCAATAATTTACAGGTTAAACTTCACTTCAGCTGCAGGATTTATTTTGCTGGGTGTTGCAGTGACTCATTGGATATGACACCACTGCCCAGTGGTGGACTCAGGCTGTCTGAGGGGCAGGGACCAAAGAAATAAAAAGACACCAGCTTCATGCAGTGGGGAACCAGTGTGGAGAAAGTCTTGATGCATTTGTGGTGAAACAGTTACAAACCCCTTTCTAGCATGTAGGGTAGTCTATATGGCACTGCATTGTGTTGTCTTCATTTTAAGTAACCATAATAGACTGAATGAGTCTTCCACTGTTTTGTTGTCCTGCGCCCGGGGGTGTACTTGGACTGAAATTCAGCCTGGGACTTTGAGACGGAGAGGCCTTTTATGCGAATGCCCTTTGGAGGCGCCAGGAAAGATTTTTTTGCAGTTATTTGAATACATACAGTGCTTTTTATATGCAGTGAATTGTAGATTTGTAGATATAGTGTAGTGTTGTAGATTGTAGATATATGCAGTGAAATAATGCAGATTATGCTGAAGTCCTTCAAGAAACTTTAAGAGGACACCTGCCTCCTTAGTTTGCATAAGCAAAGTCTGTGGTCAGCAGTGGCAAGCCTGAGTCAGTCAGAGTCCTAAATACTTAAATATACTGAACAAAATTACAAACACAACACTTTTGTTTTTGCCCCCATTCATTATAAGCTGAACTCAAAGATCTAAGACTTTATCTATATACACAAAAAGCCTATTTCTCTCAAATAGTGTTCACAAATCTGTCAAAATCTGTATCAGTGACCTTTGCTGAGATAATTTTTTCGGCACCACACATTTCTTTCTCCTCTTTATTTCTTTTTGCCATATTTACCGTCACTGTTAAGCTTGTCACACAACCCTGGGCTGAGTTCAGTACCGACAAAAAACAAACAAACAAACAAACTCGGCCCATATAAAAAGTAACCTCCTTTGATCTGCGCCGTTGGGAGAGACTGCTCGTATCCCCCCTTAATATTGACAGTATTAGTTTGGCCCAGACTGACAGACACACAAACAGCGTTCTGCTGCAGCTGACCGGCCAAAGAGTGCGTTCGTAAAAAACTAAACTGAAAAATAAAAACTCTATGACCACAGGTCATTTCGGCCTGAAATGGACTGGCCGTTCGGGAATCTTCCCGATGATAACGCCGTTATGTTGCATTATTGTGTATTTATAAGTTACAGCGACTGAGTTGGTGAAGAAGCTATGTACCTCATTAAAACCACAGTAAATCTAAATTACGAAGCAAACAGCAGCAAATCTGTGCTAACGAACGCCCCTGCTTTGCATCACTGTAGACTAGTATAAACAGTTCGCTCCACATTTGCTTTGTACTGTTACATCATTTCTTGCAGGCTAAAATCAACACTTTGATATAATACAGGTGGTTAACAAGATAGTAACATGGGTCACTTCAGTATTTTACAGTATTTTTGCATCGGATGACATTAGCAACTGGTCAGCATTAGCCAGCAAGATAATGTTATCTAACTTGAGCCAACTAAAGCACAAAATTGCAATATATTTCACAAGCTTTGTCATAACATTAGTTTACATTTTAGCCAACTCTGGGTTGGTTTTGTCGGTTTCAAAAGTCAAAGTCAAAAGTCACGGAAATGTCATTAGATTTAATTGATTTTAAGTTTTCAACTGCAGGTGGTGACCACAGACCACTTCTCAGTTCCTATGCTTCCTGGCTGCTGTTTTGGTCACTTTTGAATGCTGGCGGTGCTTTCACTCTAGTGGCAGCATGAGACGGAGTCTACAACCCACACAAGTGGCTCAGGTAGTGCAGCTCATCCAGGATGGCACATCAATGCGAGCTGAGGCAAGAAGGTTTGCCGTGTCTGTCAGCGTAGTGTCCAGAGCATGGAGGCGCTACCAGGAGACAGGCCAGTACATCAGGAGACGTGGAGGAGGCCGTAGGAGGGCAACAACCCAGCAGCAGGACCGCTACCTCCGCTGGAGACGCCGTGGAGAACATTCTGCTGCCTGCAACATCCTCCAGCATGACCGGTTTGGCGGTGGGTCAGTGATGGTGTGGGGTGGTATTTCTTTGGGGGGCCGCACAGCCCTCCATGTGCTCGCCAGAGGTAGCCTGACTGCCATTAGGTACCGAGATGAGATCCTCAGACCCCTTGTGAGACCATATGCTGGTGCAGTTGGCCCTGGGTTCCTCCTAATGCAAGACAATACTAGACCTCATGTGGCTGGAGTGTGTCAGCAGTTCCTGCAAGAGGAAGGCATTGATGCTATGGACCGGCCCGTCCGTTCCCCAGACCTGAATCCAATTGAGCACATCTGGGACATCATGTCTCGCTCCATCCACCAACGCCACGTTGCACCACAGACTGTCCAGGAGTTGGCGGATGCTTCAGTCCAGGTCTGGGAGGAGGTCCCTCAGGAGACCATCCACCACCTCATCAGGAGCCCAGGCATTGTAGGGAGGTCATACAGGCACGTGGAGGCCACACACACTACTGAGCCTCATTTTGACTTGTTTTAAGGACATTACATCAAAGTTGGCTCGGCCTGTAGTGTGGTTTTCCACTCTGATTTTGGGTGTGACCCTCCATGGTTGATAAATTTGATTTCCATTGTTAATTTTTTTGTGATTTTGTTGTCAGCACATTCAACTATGTAAAGAAAGGAGTATTTAATGAGATTAGTTTCATTTATTCAGATCTAGGATGTGTTATTTTAGTGTTCCCTTTATTTTTTTGAGCAGTGTATTTCAGTGTGGTGGACTATCCAACCAACCTGTGTTACCAACTCCAGAACCATGCCATTGCTGGGGCTAAAGGAGTTTATAAACTGTATGTGTTTCAAACCAGACACACATCAAAAACCCATTTTTTTTCTTTCAAATTAGCATACATCTAAAAGACTGTCTTTGGTGTGCAACACAGCATGAGGGGAGTGACGTCACTCAGACATTACAGCCCTCAGGTGTTGCACACAAAAGCAAACACAAACTAGTATTTGTGTAATCTACCTGCACAACTCTGTAGTGTGTGAGAGTGAGAGAGAGCGCGTGCCTGTAGGTGAGCGCGCGCAGAACCAGGAGGTCTGTAGTGAATGACGGAGGCGGGGACGCGCGTGGACAGGCTTTATGAGATGCGGTGAGATAGCGAGGTGACAGAGCGGAGAGAGAGCGGGAGAAAAAGTCATAGAATAGAAAGAGAGTTTGTGTCGGTGTGTTTCACAGACTGCCATTCAGGTGGGATACTGTCGGACCGCTGACCCCACTTTCACCCCCCCCCCGTTTGTTTAACGGCAGTGGCGGTGGACCGGAGCCTGGACACGGAGCCAGGAACAGGAACCGCAGAGCGACGTACCAAAGCCGGGGAGCGGATAGGGGACCATGGGCTCCGCTTCGTCCTCCTATCGGGTCATCTACCTGGAAGTGGACGGCAGGATTCAGAAGGTACGACTAATATACTGTATCGACTGGAGGCTGCAACAGCAACACGTATCAGGCTGCACTTTTACAGTCAGTTATGGCACTCCAAAATGGCCATTATTAAGTAAATGTTATTTCACAAGCAGAGGCTGGGGGGGGGTTAATGATTTCTGCTATTGTTTTAATTATTATTTTTTATTCATTATCAATATCAGAATTTTCAAGAAAGAAAATTCAATTTAGCCTATTTAAATATTACTGTAATTGTACTGTTCCATTTATATTGTTTTTGTAGTTATTCATTATTTATGTTATTAATTAGTTCATCATTTTATTTGATTATTAATTAATTAAATATTTTAAATTCTGGAGTGCAATAATAATAAGTCTCTAGAGATAATGCAGGATGTTAAAAAAGAATGATGCCACTGTAAAGTATCATAACTATAAAATTCCTTCTCAAATTCTTGCTATAATATTATGCCAATGTGGTAGCCAAGTAGGTACAACTACTTGGGTATACATTGAAAAAGATTCTGTAAATCTCTACAGTAATATCTGTATTCATAATTGTTATTGTACATTTAAAAAAAACCCACAGTAGCATAAACTGCTCCACAGCAGCTTAAATTGTATTACTGAGTGCCACAGACTATACAAATGACTGAATGTCTTAGGGAATTAAACAAATGCCATAAAATATCATAAAGTTGCTATAAAATCATATGTCCATGTATGGAGTCCACATATGGAATCAGATGAGGTGAGTTTTATTTTGTTAGCAGTAGTTTGTTATCATTTCCGGACTACCTGGGCTCACTGAACGAAAAGAGAACTGTGTCCTTCATAGAACCCTTACAAAAACATTGGAGCAATATTATAAATCCCCTGTAATATTGAGATGCCACAGAATGATCTGAGGCGTGCTTCAGTTAGCTGATCATCAGGTCTGCTTTTGTTGTTGTGTGCTGTGTATAATTTACAGTAAATTGAGTACATTATACAAAAACGCTGGATTGGCCTTTAGTCTAACTGTCATGTCTGTTTATGACACTGAGCACTTTACTGGCTAAAAATAGTGTGCATAAGTAGAGGGAGGGACCATAGTTATGATGATGTGTATGAATCATCACCATTCACTGAACATTCACCTAACATTAGAGGAGTGTTTTCATCTTCTGTGTGTGTGTGTGTGTGTGTGTGTGTGTGTGTGTGTGTGTGTGTCAGATGCAGAGATAAATAGATGATGCTGAGTGTGTGTGAACTGTTTCCAGTCCGTACCTCTGTGGTCCGTACAGGCAGAATCATCTTCCAGGTTTGTTTGGATCTGAGTCATTTCTGATCTTAGTGTTCGATCCCCAGGCGAAAATTTATATTGGCACCCCTGAAAATTGTGAGCATTAAACTTAATTGCCTGCCTTTTCTGCATCAATTAATTGTGGAAATGTGTTTATTTATAAAAATTCATTAAAAATAAAAATAAAAAATATATAAAAAATTAATAGAATAAAAAGCAGTGAGGCTCTCAGGCATTCTGTAGCTATTGCCTTTAAATATGTTTTCTCTTGTAGATCAACTTTTCTCATTCAATAAAATCCCTGCTGAGTCAGCAGACATGATTAGGTTTTCCCTCCTCTTTTGAGTCTTTGTTTGGGGAAGTAACCTCTCGAAATGTGCAGACCTGGCACCTTTTCACATCAATGATAAATTAATTAATTTTAATTATTATTATAATTTTTTTTACTTTACCTTTATTTATTCAGGGAGCTTCACTGAGAGCAACCTCTCATTGGCAGGAAGGCCCTGATCACAATCACAGCGTTACGCATTCCCACCTGGAAGCTGCCCAGTACAACCCCTGTCTGATCTGCTACCCACTATGCCGCTCCACTTGAGCAGTTGGGGTTCTATTTCGTATAGGCTTCGCCCTCTAAGGCTATCACTATAAAACAAGAAGAACGATGTCTTCCAGCAAGCCGGCCAGAACGGGGTGAGTCGCCGCAGCGTCTGCCACACGGGCTACATCCGTCCCCGCTGCCAGGCGTGCCTCGGACCGGAGCACGCCAGACGAACGCTCACTCTCAGATCGCACTGCCCTTCTGCGCCCTTTCTGTGTCCGGACACAGGAAGTTTCTGCGGTTTTCATTACAGGGCGCCCAGTACCAATACAACTGCCTGCCCTTCGGTAACTCCCTGGCCTCGCGCACTTTTTCCAAGTGTGTCAAGACGGCCCTGGAGCCGCTATGGCGGTTGGGCATCAGGGTCCTGTGTTCAGGGTGGGGTGCGCTCGGTGCAGCTGTTGGGTCTGGCCAGGCGCCAGGGCAGAGGTGGATCTGTTTGGCAACAAGGAAAACGCTCAGTGTGCCCTTTGGCTTTCACTGAGCCCGCGGGACGTCCCCGCGCTGGGAGTGGACGCCTTCGCGCACCCTCTTGCCCTCCCCGGCTGCTGTATGCTTTTCCGCCGGTGCGGCTGATCCTGCGCCTTCTGGATCGCCTGCAGTTTTCAACCTTGGCGGTGACTCTGGTAGACCCCGGAGCACACCAGCGTGTCCATGTGTCCCTGTCTCCAGCGGTTGCTGGCGGGGCAGCCGTGGAAACTCCCCTGGATGGGGGACACTCTCTCTCAGGTGGGGGGTGCGATCAGGAGTTACCCGCTCCTCGGCCAGCCTCTCTGGGTCTGGCCGCTGAGACGCAACACCTGGAGGGCTTAGGTCTCTTCCGGGAGGTGGTTCTCACCATCCAGGGGTAGAAGGCCGCCTCCACTCAGTCCTCTTACTCCTCTAAGTGGTCGGCTTTCCAACGCTGGTGTCTGGACCAGGGGACGGACCTGGTTGCCTGTCCACTGTTCCTCCAGTTGCTCATGGACAGGGGGCTGGCGTTCAGTATGGTTAAAACCTACACTGCCGCCATTTCATCCCGTCACGAGGGCTTCGGGGACAGGACTGTGTTCTCCCACCCCCTGGTGAAGCGTTTCCTTAGGGGGGTGCGAAGGTGCAGGCCGGTGACGCGGCCTGTTGCCCCACAGTGGGATTTGCCGCTGTTTACGCACCTTAACCTAAGCCCCGTTTGGGCTTTTGGAGACGGCGGACCTGAGATTCCTAAGGTCGCCCCATGGGTCGGTGGAGGACGCCACGTCCCACCTCCTCTGCCCGGTGCGAGCGCTGTCCTGTTATGTGGCGTGCATGGCTACCTGGCGCCGTTCGCAGCGTCTGTTTGTGCACTACAGGGAGTGGTCCAAGGGACTTCCCCTGCGCAGCGCCTGTCTCACTGGCTGTGCAATGCCATTTCCCAGGCTTACGTGTCTGCCGGTGAATATCCCTCGGATGGCATCGGAGCGCACTCCATGAGAGGCGTCTCCTCCTCAGTGGCGTTGCACGGTGGGATGACTGTGGACAACATCTGCACGGCGGCCTCCTGGTCGTCTCCATGCTCTTTCGTCCGTTTCTACCTGCGGGATGTCTCCCAAAGTGTTTTGGTTAAGTGATTCTCCTTGTGAGTGCGCCCTCTCCCACGGGACGGTGTGGGGGGGCGGCTGCTGCTTACGCGGCCCTGCCTTGTGCGCAGCTGATGCGGCTGCTGTCGTGACCCCGCCTGCGTCTGTACAGCTGCGGGGCCCCCCACCCAGTTGCCATCGGCCTCCCATGCTGCGCCATCGGTGCTCACAATGCCGGACCAATGCCGCGGTCAGCGGGTGACTGGGTGGCTCATTATGGCTCTGGGCAGGTGAGTTGTTCTTGGTGGTACCATATGGGCCAGTGAGACGGTGACTCATCCTGCTTCGCCTCTAACCTAATAGTGATAGCCTTAGAGGGCGAAGCCTATACAAAATAGAACGGGGATTACGTACTGTAACCCGGATTCTATGAGTATAGGTGTAGCCCTCTAAGTTGAAGGCCTCACTGGACCTTGGTTCTCAGTGCTGAAGAAAAGGCATTTGGGAACCAATGGCTGGGTCTCACCGTTGTGTGTATATATACAAGGTGCGGACGTAGGAGAGGCCCACGCTGTGGGTGGGCGTAGACTAAAATTCTCAGTGGCACAGAAGGGGTTAACTCAATAGCGATAGCCTTAGAGGGCTGCGCCTATACTCATAGAATCCGGGTTACAGTACGTAACCCCTGTTATGGACCTTGCTCAAGAGCACCTCAGTGGTGGTAAATGACAGAGGACAAGCACTGTTTGTTTTACTTTCCACAACCAGATTTATCCTGCCGGTCACAAGATCGCTTTTCTAACCTTTGGGCAACCACTGCCCACAAATCAAAGTACAGAAGTTATAAGCTCCTGGACTTTTAATTTCATCAGGTTTTCTGCTCATGTTCACAACTTTCTGCACATTCACACTCCACAGTTTCTGTAGCACACACAGCTCAATGTAATAAACATACATTCAAATGTCATAGAGTAAAGAATCTAGGGCATGCAATTTATTCATCCAACAAAACAGGAGAATCACAGACTGGAGCTGTCAGATCACTAACTTACCAACCTGACACCTCAGAGCATTTCTTTGGTGTTGGATGTTACAGTATATCTTTATATAAAATAGTGAAGGAAACACAGAAAAATGCTGCAGCAAGTCAGCTGCAGTTAAATCAAATTTATGCAAAGTGACTTCTGCTTCTCTGTCAAGAATCAAAAAAAATATCTGTACACTGTACTGACAACTCCCTGCTATATTAATTTAGAGGAGCAACATATCGATCTTACACAGATCTTTGTCAGGTGTTGTCAAATGTAGTGCAATGTAGACATTAGCCATTACTCTTGTTTATTTGGAGTATTTTTCCCAATATTGCCTTATAATAGAAAAAAATTTTCATCAAAATTCAGGTAATGTTTTTGAATGAAATCTGTAAAATATGTACTGAAGTAATTTATCTGTGATCTGTGTATCTGTGAAAAGAGTAAAACACACAAAATTGCATTTCTTTCCTTTCTCCAAGCCCTTGTCATCGGATGGCTTTCAACTGACTTCATTCATCCTTTCATTCATACATCCTTTTTCTGAACCTGTTTATCCT